TCAACGGAAAATTTTATTTTGTGTCCCATGCAACCGATACTATTGAGTTATTTTTTTATCTCACAGTTTTGTAAATTTAGAAGTGTAAGATTGAGGTCCACAAATTTGTGAGATAAAAAAGAGTCTCACACAACTAATGTCAATTGTGTGAGACGCACAATAAAGCTTCTCGTGGTTTTAATTATTTTAAAGAGTATATGTCATTTTGAGTATACAAGTTTCATTTGTCAATCACTACAAATCGCATTTATGATTGTGAATTATAAAACGTACTTGTCATTTGATTTATAAAACAATAGTGATTTATAAGCGTATTTTTTAATATCGATTTATAAGTCGTTGTCACGAGTGATTAATTATGAATTATAAGTCGGTTAGCGAATGTTCGACAATTGTAATTTATAAGACGTATTTGACAATTGCATTTTATAAATCACAATTATGAATATTGACTTATAACTCGCATTGCTCAATGCAGTTGCGACTTATAATCGATTAGTATATTGCGACTTACAAATTAACGTATTGCTACTTACAAATAGCTTCTGTATATAGTTTGCACTTTCAAAAACCATCCAAATTAAAAAGGAACAGACAGTAGCAAATTGGAAAGCCACTACACATAATTTCTTTTCTTTTTTTATAGATATTGCAATAATCGCACAACTTTCTCACCTTTTTATTTTTTTCTTTCTTTTCTTCTAAAGAAGATAAAAGTTATGTGTTGCAGCCAAACGTACACGCAAGTATACGCAGTCGTCAAGTAATAAAGTGACTAAAAGTCGGATGTCGAATCTACGAGGACTTGTGATTAACTATTAACAAAATTAAACTATCCTAACTATCTAAACAAGAATTAAAACTAGAAGTATTTGATTCTAAACTAATTAAAATAAAGAAAATAAATAATGAACTTTAAACAGAGGAAGAGCAGATTTTTTATGTTATCAATATGATAAAAACGATCTGGGGTTATGGCTATCTAACATTCCTATTATATTCTTCAATTGAATTGACTAATTAATTTATCTAGTTTATTGTTTTACAGGGTTAATATTGCTCATAAGAATGTGTCGAGTTCTTACTCGTCTATTCAAGCTAACCTAACGCCTATATGTCTATGGAATTGGAACTAACTAGAGCGCATTTATAATTCCTGTAACTCAACCAAGCAAGGCAATTAGATATATGTCTATCCTAACTGTGAATCGGTTCCTCGATGCCCAGGTTCAAGAACTTGCCAGACTAAAGCCTTGTTCAGCCTGGCTTTTGGATGGCCTCGCAGGCTAAAGTCTGGTTGAGCTGGCCTTTGCCTGGCCTCTCCTTTTCACTGTTCTCGAGCACACTTTTAACGTTTAAGTATCTCTTTTGCTCTACTTTCATCTTCAATTCACCTACACATAAAGTAGACTCCATTACGCACAAATAAAGTGTAATTTATCATTAAAGTATGTAAAATGCAAGGCACATAATGTACGAAACTATGGAATTATAGCCACACATCAGCCAACAAATTTTGAAAACAAGACTTTTATAAAATTACATGACACTTCATAAGCAACAATTTAGAAACACGTGGTGACATCTTTCCCTCTTGCCCCCACAAGTACGGATACATATTTACAAATAATATAATGTATCAATTTAAGACATGCTTTTAAAGAGAACCCCTCAAGAAGAGTAAGTCTTAATCAACTTACCTCAACCTTCAACCTCCAAAAAATACTACAATGCTTCAATTGATTAAAATGCTCAAATATTGCCCACAATTCAGTATCTACACTTAAATATCCCAACTACAAAATAAATACGAAAAGATTCATAAATATTCATTTAGGCTTCACAATTTGGCAACAAGCCTTCAGCCATCCTAAATTTTCCAATAGGCTGACCCATTAGCCTATTCAATTCCATTCTTATCATTTAATACTCATTTCAAATCATTAATAACACCACGTTAATTATCTAATATCATGAAGTCACTATTCATTATCTTCTCCAACAAAATTCTAGGTTACAAGAATACCCATTTTAAGAACTAGTGTTGCATCTTGTCCAAATGGTGATTCCCTATTCAATTCGTTCATCAATTACGTTATCAAAGTCTATTGGAATCATTAGAAACTCGACATAATCCCATTTATATCAATTCATCACTATTCATCTTCTTCTTTGTCCAAAATATCATTTTCAAGGCCCACCCTTAGGATTCATTCAATATCCCATTACAACTTCAAATAAAACTCATAAACTTGCTACCCATACTCGAATATGACATATATATGAAGCTCAAGTGAAGGGATTACCTCTTGGTGGAAGAATCTCACTTTTCCTCTTTTTGATGTTCTTGAAGATTCAACCCATTTCATATGGATTTGATCCATAATAGTATTAGTGTTATCACCAAATGATGTAATATAATCATCCTTGTACCAAAAAAACTTATCTTGAAGTGTACCCATGGTGGAAGAGCTCCTCATTCTCTCTAGAAATCAATTCCAAGTTGAAAACTAACTTTTTCTCTGTATAAACCCCTTGTTTCAGCCCCTTTAAAATGGCCCCTAAAGCTACGTAGCCTATGCCTAAAACCTACGGAGGAGGCCTTTCCCTTGGCCAAAATCTGAAATTGGCTACGCAACTGCTACGTAGCTGCACTACCACCTTCCGATAAAAAGCTCATAACTCATTGTAGAAATATTCAAATGACGAACGGTTTGAAGAATTAGAAACTAGACACATAGACCTTTCATTTAATAGGTCATACATCATATAACACTTCATATCTTGAGATTTATGCTTGTTTGAAATTAAGTCTTGTGCGAACTCACTTGAAACTTTAGCCCATCATATAATTTCCAACTTGACTTAGCCTTAAAGCCTTCTTTAGACCATAAACCATTACTAATATACCTCATACACATATTATCACGTTCAAGCGATATCATTTATGTTATTGGCCCTTGATCACACGCGAATTAATATAATTAGCACATGCCGATCTTCTTTAAAGCGTTTAAACACTTCGAAATTTTTCTCGGGGTGTTACTGTTCCAATGTTCAGACGGACGAATGCTGCTAGGGGATTGCAGAATAGACCAGCTGAAGATGGAAGAGTGAACGTTGTCAAGCCTACATCTTTAGAATAAAATCCAGTTAGAAAAGGAAATCCAATTAGAGATAAGCTGCCCATGAGCATCATTCATATATTACCTTCCTATATTTAAAAAAAACACATAAATAAAAAATGTTAAGATATTCTTAATGATCTTCGGGCTTCTACCCAACAGAGTCTTCCATAACTGACCGACCGGTGAAAGGATAGCCGGACCCGTTGAAAGTTGGCAGTTATTGATGGCTCGGAAAGCCACCCAATGTAGGACGAATTACCTCCCATCCGTTCTAGCTACTCCACACTGGCCTTAAAAGCGCCTACTTTT